GTCCGGAGCGATTCACTCAGATGGTGCGTCAGCTGCACGACGGTATGATGGCGCGAGTCACGGACAACGGAGCTGTCTCAGAGGCATTCGCAGTGACCAACGGAGTGAAGCAGGGCTGTGTGCTGGCGCCTACCCTCTTCAGTCTCATGTTCTCTGCCATGCTGATGGACGCCTACCGTGACGAACGCCCTGGAATCCGCATCGCCTATTGAACGGACGATCATCTCCTGAATCGCCGGCGCATGAACTTCCAATCGCGTGTATCCACAGCCACCGTGCACGAACTCCTCTTCGCCGACGACTGCGCCCTGAACACTACCTCAGATGTGGAGGTGCAACGGAGCATGGACCTATTCTCCGCCGCCTGCGAGAACTTCGGTCTGGTCATTAACACGCAGAAGACGGTGGTGATGCATCAGCCGCCTCCGAGCTCAGCCACAGCCCCCAACGCGCCGCAAATAAACGTGAATGGGACTCAACTGCATGTGGTAGAGAACTTCCCTTACCTGGGCAGCACGCTCTCCCGCAACACCAAGAGCGACGACGAAGTCACCAACAGGATCTCGAAAGCCAGTCAAGCCTTCGGTCGTCTCCAAAGCACAGTTTGGAATCGTCATGGTCTCCAACTGAGCACAAAGCTGAAGATGTACAAGGCCGTCATCCTGCCACGCTACTGTACGGAGCAGAGACCTGGACGGTGTACACGAGGCAGGCACGTCGACTAAACCACTTCCACCTCAGCTGTCTCCGCCGCGTACTGAGGCTGAACTGGCAGGACCGCATCCCCGACACCGAAGTGCTGGAACGGACGGGAATTCTGAGCATCTACTCCATGTTGAGACAAATGCAGCTGCGCTGGAGCGGCCACCTGGTGCGCATGGACGACGAGCGACTACCCAAACGACTCTTCTACGGAGACGTCGCGACGGGTTCTCGTCGTCAAGGAGGCCAAATTCGCCGTTACAAAGATACTCTGAAGTCCTCCCTGAAGCGCCTGCACATCAACCCGACCAACTGGAAAGAGCTCGCCCGCGATCGTCCTACATGGAGGAGAACAGTGAAGACGGGCGCTGCTATCTACGAAGCCAACCGCATCGCCGCCGCCAAAGTGAAACGCGAAGTCCGCAAATCACAACTTCGCCCAATACACAACGCCGCCGCACAACCTCTCCCTACGTGTCCTCGATGTAAGCGGACATTCCGGGCTCGAATCGGACTTGTTGGACATCTTCGAACCACCTGCACCTCTCGAACTGCTCCAGCCATCGTCCCCGCGCCCGCCTCTTCCTCGTCCTCTCTTCCGCCAACTAACTCTGACACTCCTTCTGCACCACCACTTCCATCCTCCTCTGCCTCCTCCACTGCCCCAGCGGTGGCCGTTCAGGCTGCCGTCTCACACATCGCCAACCACGACACAGCAACCGCAACCGCCCCCACCTGCCCTCACTGCGACCGCACCTTCACCTCACACAATGGCCTGGTCGGTCACTTGCGAATCCATCGCACAGAGACTGGTGAACCAGTGCCTGGAGCACCAACCTACACCCACCGCACTCGCCTCCACTGCCCACAATGCCCTCGCACCTTCCGGCATCGCATGGGCCTATTCGGCCACATGCGCATCCACGAGAGCGGAATTGACCGCAGCCTTGACACACCTACCCCGCCGAGCCCCAC